CGCGTACAGCAAAAAAAAAAAAAAAAAGAGGAGAAATTAGAAATAACTCATGCTCTTTAATGAACTTTTAAGAAGTAATTTTACAGGAGATGATATTGAACTGTTTTTGTGTCTTTGAAAAACTAAAGAATGAACAGCTTGTTTTTTTCCTTTAAAAACAAGACGCCCCTTTATTTTTTTTGGCTGTGCCATGCAGCTTGCGATATCTTAGTTCCCCAACAAGGGATCAAACCCGGGCCCCCTGCAGTGGAAGCGCAGAGTCTTAAACCTGGACCACCAGGGAATTCCCAAGAATGAAGAGGATAATCTGAAATCTATTTTAACTGGCTAATCTTTGTTTAGAGTGAATGAGACTCCAACTGCGGTAAATAACTTTCAGAATAGCTGAGATTGACATGCTTAAAACATTAGACCAGGATTTCCAGCTTTATAATCCTATGGTTTTGATTTCCCTCATTTTTGCAACAGGCCCTACTTGCATCTGAATACAGATGGCAGGGTACAGCTGCAGAATAAGTGGTAGCTGCTACCCACCACTAGAGGGACCCTCTGACCATCTAGTGCACCCACTCAGCAGCTGCCTGAGTATGTTGAAGGGTGACGAGGTATGCAAAAGCTTTTAAGTTTCATTAGGTCCCATTGGTTTATTTTTGTTTTTATTTCCATTTCTCTAGGTGGTGGGTCAAAAGGATCTTGCTGTGATTTATGTCATAGTGTTCTGCCTATGTTTTCCTCTAAGAGTTTTATAGTGTCTGGCCTTACATTTAGGTCTTTAATCCATTTTGAGTTTACTTTTGTGTATGGTGTTAGGGAGTGTTCTAATTTCATTCTTTTACATGTAGCTGTCCAGTTTTCCCAGCACCACCGATTAAAGAGGCTGTCTTTGCTCCATTGTATATTCTTGCCTCCTTTATCAAAAACAAGGTGACCATATGTGCGTGGGTTTATCTCTGGGCTTTCTATCCTGTTCCATTGATCTATATTTCTGTTTTTGTGCCAGTACCATACTGTCTTAATTACTGTAGCTTTGTAGTATAGTCTGAAGTCAGGGAGCCTGATTCCTCCAGCTCTGTTTTTCTTTCTCAAGATTGCTTTGGCTATTCAGGGTCAGTTTTTGCACAGCAAAGGAAAACATAAACAAGACGAAAAGACAACCCTCAGAATGGGAGAAAATATTTGCAAATGAAGCAACTGACAAAGGATTAATCTCCAAAATTTACGAACAGCTCATGCAGCTCAATATAAAAAAAACAAACAACCCAATCCAAAAATGGGCAGAAGACCTAAATAGACATTTCTCCAAAGAAGATATCTATATTACCAACAAACACATGAAAGGATGCTCAACATCACTAATCATTAGAGAAATGCAAATCAAAACTACAATGAGGTATCACCTCACACCAGTCAGAATGGCCATCATTAAAAAATCTAGAAACAATAAATGCTGGAGAGGGTGTGGAGAAAAGGAAACTCTCTTGCACAGTTGGTGGGAATGTAAATTGATACAGCCACTATGAAGAACAGTATGGAGGTTCCTTAAAAATCTAAAAATAGAACTACCATACGACCCAGCAATCCCACTACTGAGAAAGCCATAATTCAAAAAGAGTCATGTACCACAATGTTCACTGTGGCTCTATTTACAATAGCCAGGACATGGAAGCAACCTAAGTGTCCATCAACAGATGAATGGATAAAGATGTGGCACATATACAATGGAATATTACTCAGCCATAAAAAGAAACAAAATTGATTTATTTGTAGTGAGATGGATGGACCTAGAGTCTGTCATACAGAGTGAAGTAAGTCAGAAAGAGAAAAACAAATACCTTATGCTAACACATATATATGGAATCTAAAAAAAAAAAAATGGTTATGAAGAACCTAGGGGCAGGACAGGAATAAAGACGCAGACGTACTAGAGAATGGACCTGAGGACAGTGGGAGGGGGCAGGGTAAGCTGGGACAAAGTGAGAGAGTGGCATGGACATACACACACTACCAAATGTAAAATCGATAGCTAGTGGGAAGCAGCCGCATAGCAAAGGGAGATCAGCTCGGTGCTTTGCGACTACCTAGAGGGGTGGGATAGGGAGGGTGGGAGGGAGGGAGATGCAAGAAGAAAGAGATATGGGGATATATGTATATGTATAACTGATTCACTTTGTTATAAAGCAGAAACTAACACACCATTGTAAAGCAATTATACTCCAATAAAGATGTTTGTTTTTTTTGTTTTTAAAAAGAGTGATGAGGTAAGGGTAGCAGAAAGATCATTTTTTCCCTACCACATGTTCAGATTCAATTCCTTTTTGGGAAGAAGTCTTCTCCTTACCCAGCCTAAAGGAGGGCTGAGCCTGTGGCTTAAACTCAAATTCAAAACTTTGAGAATACCCAATTCCTCCTTTATTCCAATTACTTGTTCTATCATAAAGTTGTTTTCCTTTTTATTACCATCACAATTCTCTCCCTTCCTCTCCAGTTGATACCACCATCATCCTAGACGCACATCACCTCACACCTAAATTATTACAATCTAAACTGTCTGCTTTTTCTATCCACTGTGATAGAACTTTGTCAACAGATTAGTTTCGGACTTTTGTTTTGATCATGTCCCACTTACGGACAAAAATGTTCTATCCTTCCCCATTGCCTAGTTTAAAATAAAAATCCCTCAGCTTTTATCAGTCAGGTTTCCAGTGTTGCCTCCACCTATACTTATTCCAATATTCTCACTCAGGTCTCCCTCCACCATTGCTTTCACCATGATCTCTTCCTTGTTCTCTAGAACAGATCATTCTCATACCTCTAGGCCCTTGTGCTCAAGTGAAACTTTCCCCAACACTTCAGGCCCACAATAACCTCTCATCTTCTTTGACCTTTATATGCTGTATCACTCTTTCAGAGAACTGAAATCCTTAACTGTATCACATCTAACATGTTTGTGCGTGCACGTATGTGTGTGCTCCTCCTGGACACTATAAACCCTTGAAGGTCAATTACTTCTTTTGACCTTCAACTGCCCAGTGCATTCATGGCTCTTGCTCATTAGCTGCTGCATAAATATTTGTAGAATGACCTTAACAAGGTAGGGAATAATGGTGTGGAAAGGAACATTTTTTAGTTTGTTTCTCTCCAAATCTCCCCCACCGCCTTAGAACATCCCTTTTTGTCTAGTTTCCCATTCCAGTAAAATAGCCTAAGCTCAACCTCACAGAAGAGAAAAACACATAGCTGAGGAAAGCAGTCTCTATGCTTTTCTAGGAGTGAGAGACACCCTGGGGCCAGGTCAAGGGAAGGAAAGGCAGAGAATCCTAGGGCCAACCAACCTCAAGCTTGCTTTTCCCACTGTCCCTCTCCTTTCCTCCTAAACCTGAGTAGAATTTTGAGCTATGGGTCCCCAAATCCCTAGGCAACAGACCCACATTAATTCCCTTCCTATTCATTCACAGCTTTTCCTTGTCAAGTGTAAGTTGTTAAGAGGGAGGAGGTGACCAGAAGGTAATGAATAAAGCCATTTCTTTCAGCCTGAGTTAGACTGAAATTGGAGTGAGGAAAACTGGAAAGGATGCATTTGTTCAGGGTAACATGAACAAAACTGAGCCTGATGTAGGAGGGTGGAGCAGATGGTATATGAAAAAGAACCAGGAAGAAGCAAGAAGTCTAAATAACTGATGAAAGTTTAATACATTAAAACCAGGTATTTATCACTTTTATATTGTATTTGCCATTTCTGAACAATACAAAGTAGAGGCAAATAGTGACACTTCATAAAAATGTTGATTCCCCATTCCCTTCCCTAAGACCCAGCCTCCCTCAAATATTCCCTCCCACCCCCTACAGAACTCTGTCCTGAATAAAACACTTAAATACATCATAAATAGTAAATTATGAAAAAAAAATAGCAAGAATTGTTTCTTTTCTTCTTGTAAAAAAGAACATGGCAGCAAAGACAGGCAGCCAGAAACTGGCTGGGGGTGTCTAATATAGACAGTTACTCGGGGTATGAGCTAACCTACTATCAAGGCAGGGTGGGATGGAGAGGGGACAGGATGGGGATTCAACAATCTGCCTGAGATGCCAGGCCCCCTTCTTCCCCTGACAGGGGGGAGGAGGATCAGATGGAGAACATGGGGAGGAGAGGGATTACACAGCCCGTTTCCACGTTCTCTGCATGAAGAGAGGTGGCAGGGCATGTGGCACAGCAATGACCTCACTAAGGCAAGAATCTCCTGGCTCTCCATGAGTTTAAGAGAATATTCTCTAGCCTCACAGTTGTGGACTACCTGTTAAACAGACACAGGTGTCCCCTTCTCCATCTCAGCTCCATGAACAGCAGAACACTGTTGGAAAAGGTGGTAAGAGCAAGGAAGAAATCTCCTTTGGAGAAGAATCTAAAATTCATTTGATAAGTCTTCATATTTAGAAAAACAAGCAGAATACATTTCAAATTGCAAAACAGTAATAATCATTATGGCCTGGCTGTGAGTAGGGTCCTGCCTAGGAAGGGTTCTGACCTTTTACCCCTATGACTGCCCCACTGTTTAACAAAAGGGGTAAAGATTACCCCATGTCCCACTCTCTCCATTCCTTCAGCTTTCAGAAATTCATTAAGAGAGGAGGAGTTAAAGAGGAGCTGCTCCTGGCAGAGCAGCTTCTGTTTCTCAAACACCAGGGCTCTTCTGAGGGAACCCTATGAATATGCATCTCACCAATACTTACAAAGTTCTGATCTGAAACTGTCTGGCTTGAAATTGTGTGCTATTTTTCTTTTCCTTTTTTAAGGAACCAAAAGAAGGCGGCTGGGAGGTGGTTAAACACCCTTACCCCCCAAAACACCTTTACAAAGATTACAGGGTGGACGGGCTTCCCTGGTGGCGCAGTGGTTGGGAGTCCGCCTGCTGATGCGGGGGACACAGGTTTGTGCCCTGCTCCGGGAGGATCCCGCATGCCACGGAGCGGCTGGGCCCGTGAGCCATGGCCGCTGAGCCTGCAAGTCCGGAGCCTGTGCTCTGAAACAGGAGAGGCCATAGCAGTGAGAGGCCTGCATACCGCAAAAAAAAAAAAAAAAAAAGAGTACAGGGGTCTTCTTCCACAGAAAAAGAGCTAAGGTTGGGATAATGTACCAGCCAGTCTGTCCTGAGGAAATTAAGAGTCCAGCTCCTGGTGAAAGGTAGATGAGGGGGAAGAAAACCACCAAGTCCAACAACCCCACTTCCAACAGGAAGAATGGGGGTTTGAAAACAATTCAGTTGTGGAAGGAAGGCTGGCTAGTAGAAAACCTGTGCCACCCAGCTCAGGAGTAGAGAGGATGCCGCTGTCCTCAACTGTCCGAGGCACTAATGCCCATTCATGAGGAAGGCGAAGTAGAAGAGGTTCTTCTTCAGGGAGGAGACGGAGAGCTCCCTTAGCCTCCATTACACTTTTTTTGATGACCAAGTAAAAGAAAACTCAGCATTGCTGGGTCAAGGGCTGACATCTTGGGATCACAGAGATGGTAGAATCTTGCTCCAGGTCTTCTGAGGATTTTTGTTCACTGGAAAAGGGAAAGGGTTTAAAGTTAAGGATGTGCAGTATGAGATGAGGCAGGAAAGGAATTCAAGTTTCCTTCTAGTTCAGTCTCAGCTTCCAAGTACAAGGTATCAGAAAAAAAATTTTTTTAAGTAAGATTTAGGGGGGCGCCCAGTCCCCCTAACCCTGCCAATTATGTTGCTGCTCCACTCCATCAGTGATGCTCTTTATACCCTTCCAAAGCATCCACCTCCCCCACATCCCAGACACTTACATGGATGAACTCTGACTCTGGAACTTCATGCTTTTCCAAGAGGGTTGAGCTAACAGGAGGGGGGAAAAAATGGAGGCAGAAAGAAGAATTAGTAAATAAATGAGAAAAGGGACTCTCAGGTCAAATCTCATACTACTTCTCCATTTCATTGGGAATCAATTTAGGATTCAAAAAGAAGGGGCTAAGAAGCTACCAGATTTGGAAGCACATTGTTTTAATTAACTATTTACTTTTTTGTCTTGACTTCTATAAAATATTTCCTAACACCCTCCTCTACCTTCTTCAATCCCCAGGTGTGGTAGGCACCCAATGAACACTGCCATCTGATAGTCATGCCATTGTGTAATTTTCTCCTCTTGAGTGTGGGCTGAATTTAGTGACTTTCTTCTAGTGAACAGAATGCACCACAGGAGATGTAAAGTCAATTCTGAGATTAGGCTACAAAAAGACTATAGCTTCCTCTTGGGTACCTGCTCTCTCACTTGTTTGCTCTGAGGAAGCTAGCTGCCATGCAGTGAGCTGCCTTATGGAAAGGACCATGTGACAAGGAACTGAGGGAACTGGCCAACAGCCAACAAAGAACTGAGCCCTTATCCCAATAGCCTACAAGAAACTGAATCCTGCCAACAACCACATAGATAAGCTTGGAAGCTGATCCTCCCCTGGGCGAGCCTTCAGATGAGACCACACTGCTGGCTACTAGCTTCACTGTAACCTCCTGAGAGACTTTAAGCCAAAGGCACCCAGCTAAGCTACACCCAGATTCTTAAGCTACATTATATCTGAGATAATAATGTTTGTTGTTTTTAGCTGCTAAAATTTGGGGTAATTTGTTACACAATAGATATTTTTGTACCTGGAAGTGAAGTACTGCTGTAATAAAAATCTAAAATGTGGAAGTGGCTCTGGAAGAGGGAACTGGGTTTGAGGACAGTTTTAGTGAAAGTTTAAAAGTGCCCTGAATATACTGTAGAATTCTGGACTTTAAGGGGATTGCCAGTAAGGGCTTAAAGTGAAAAAAATCTTATTAAAAATTGAAGGAAAGGGGATCTTTGCAATGTAGTGAAACAAAGTTTAGCAACAATGTCACCTACAGTTATGTGAAAAGTAGAATACGTGCCTCATGAACTGGGTGATCTGGCTAAGGAGATTTCTAAACCAAGTGCTGAAGGTGCCACCTGGTTTCTTCTTAACTTTTATAGTTAAAATATGAGAGAAGAAAAGTAAGTTCAGGGGAGGACTATTAAACAAAAGGAAGCCAAGACTTGATGGTTTTGAAAATTCTGAGCCTCTCCAGATAGCAAATAATGCTAAAATTAAGAAATGGATAAAATCTAAGGCACTGCCAGGAAAATGTGGTCTACAGATGAAGCCAAGGGTATGACTGTAAAACATCTGTTAAGAACTCAAAGTACTATTCAGTCATACAAAAGGTGATTCAAAAGATTAAGGGTATGTCTCTCAGATCCTCTCAACTTAACAGGATCTCTAAGAAGCATAGAGCTTATCAAGAAGGTATTTGTGGCTTCTGTCTAATAGCGTGAATCCCAATGAGATTCATAGGAGGCCCACAAAATCTTTGAGGGTATTATAGCAGCAGAAACACTGTCCTGCTTGGACTGAAAGGGACAGAAATAGTACACAATGAAAAGAGACCACTGGATCCCCAAAATTCTGGCAAGAAGCAGGCTGAGAAAATTACTCAGCAGCAAACACATTGTAGTTTTCATGAAAAAGGAAGACTCAAAAGGCAAAACCAAGAGTCCCAAAGGTAGAGCCAAGAGCCACGAATTATTCTCATGCTTTGAGACCTGATAAAAGAAACTCCAACATTTGCTGGGGTTTAGACTAGCTATGGATCAGACTCCTCTGTGCCTCCCGTTCTCCCTTTTTTATACAGGAATGTGTGAAGAGATTATCTATTGTTTGTCTCATCATTGTATGCTGGGTGTGTGGGGAGAAGATAGCCTGTCTCTTTAGTTTCACAGTCCACAGTGATCGCTGCTTCCTGATACACTCTTAGGTAATTCATTCCTCAAGTGTGGGCTAGATTAAGTGACTAGAATGCAGAATAGGAGACTTGGTTATGAAAGACTGTGGCTTCTGCTTAGGTGCATGCACTGTCACTTGCTCATGCTAAGGGAAGCGAGCTGCCATGTTCTTAGTTGTCCTATGGAGGGGCTCATGTGGCAAAGAACTGAGGGAGGCCCGCAGAAAACAGCCAGCAAGAAACAAAACCCTCAGTCCAGCAACTCACCAGAAACTGAATCCTGTCAAAAACCACATAAATGAGCTTAGAAGTGAAGCCTCTCAGTTGAGCCTTCAGATGAGCCTAGCCCTGGACAAAGAGCTTCACTATCATGAAAGACCTTGAGCCAGAGGACCCAGTTAAGCTGCACCCAGATTTCTAACTCACAGAAACTATGATATATGTTTGTTATTTTAAGTCACTAAGTTATGGGGTAATATATTATGATGTAATGAGATGATTAACACACCAAAAACAAAAAATTAAATCACAATCTTTACACTGGATCCTTTTGAAAGGTTAACTGTTCACTGTCTTCAGTGCCTGGGAATCTTTCCAGCCTTAAATCCTAAGCTAAGAATTCTCACTTAACTCACCGGGAGATGAAGCATTAGTTGGGGTATTTTGATTGAATACCAGAAAAGTCTGTACATAAAGACTTCCCACCACCCCCTAAAAATGCAGAGATGTTGATACACTTTTCCAAATCACTAAAGATGAGCTCTTAGGAAGATGAACATGCAAAAATCTAGTGAAGAGCAAAAGACAAACAATAGTCTCTGGAAAAAACAGAATTATGGAGGTTCTCAAGGACCTGAAGAGAGAGATGAGAAGATTACATGGAGAAAGGGGCCAAGGAACCAACCTTGTAGTTAGCATTTGCAAAGTCTCTCCAACTACAGGTGAGAAATAGGGGTCAGGAATAGTCGAGACCTCACTGATTTTCTCTAAAGGTGGAGTCTGAGGTAAAACATCAGGACGACCGAAGTGGACGCCTGGAAAAAAGAAAGGGGAAGAAAATCAATAAATAAAAAAGAAGAGAAAAGGGGGTGGGGAAAATATAGGAAAAAATATGTAGCAACTTGGATTTTCATGGACAGGAACGGGGAGTAGAGGTCCTAAGCAGACAAGGACTCAGAAGGAAGGGAGGGAGTGCCCCATCACACGGGGACCCCAACCCTGGCGCTGACCTGGCTCCACTTCCGCCTTTGTTGTCACTTGTGCCTTGTGTTCCCCAGAGACCGATGGCTGGTAAGTTACGCAGGAGTTGCCGCTGGGGCCTGCTCGCCGAGAGAAAGATGAGCCAGACCGAAACTTTTTGGAAGGAGAGGGCTTCACTTCAAAAGGGAAAGAGAGAGCCTACTTAGCACCCACCTCGGAAACCGTCACCAAGACATAGATACAACTTGCTAGCGTCCCCAACACAAACCCAAAGTTGTTCCTCTGCAAAGCAGGAAAAGGGGTTAATGTCAACAAAGATGGGCTCTATGAACTACTCTTCAGAGGAGGGGGCATCTCAGTCCACTTCACTTTGGAAAAGAAGCAGAGAACCTAGAGGAAAGGAGACACATATCTCTCCCCTCCTACAAGCAACCTCAATGGCTTTGCTTCCGCCTGATGACATGTATCCTATTCTGTAATTCCTTTGTTCTTTAATAGTATCCTTCAGTTAAACCAGACAAAGATGACCCTTTCACTCTATATCCCTGTAGCACTTACACACACAGCACGATGGTGATACTTTACACTTGTTTATATATCACTTTGAAAAGACTTTGAAAGGATTTTTCCATGTTTCTTAAGACTGTTTGGCATGCCTAAGTCCACTCTGCCTCACCGAGGGACAACTGATGCCTATGATGAGGAGACAGAGATGGGAAGGAGGAGCTGGAATCTGCCAGTGGCAGCAGCGTGAAAGGTTTGGAAAGAAGAACATTGGCACTTCCCAACGAAGAAAGTTGAGGGAAGAGACTAAGAACACCTGCTAAGCAGAAATGAGTAAGTGCTTCTCCAACCTTATGATCCTAATCTAAGAACTTCCTGGCCTTGGGGATATGGTAATATTCTTGCCTATCTCTGACCATAAAAGTCCAGCTTCGCCTATCTCAGCCTGTGGCATGGGTCCTACACCCACAACTAAACATTTTTACAACCCCACCAATTTCTCAGAAATGCCCCTCCCCTCAATGACACATGTAGGGATTGCCAGGGGGAAAGCAGCAACTTGGAAACAACTGAGACAGACAAAGTGACCGACATAAGGATGGGCAGCAGCTCTCACGGGATGTGGGTAGAGTAGGAGAAGCCTCTGGCTTTGGCAGTTCCCTGACAGAGGTGTCCTGCCCCCCATCTCTTGAAGTAAGGGAGCCATTGGAGGGTCATCTGGCAGAAGCCACTTACAGAGGATCTTCTTGAACACTGTAGTGCACATGAAGCGCTGGAACCGTTCGGCGTAGAAGCTTGGGCGATGCACTGATACGGTGTCCTGCAGAGCAAAAGAGATGGCTGCAGAGTTAGAGAGGAGGAGGCCCAGCAAGAGGATCTCTGGTCCAAGGGCCATTTTTCCCTAGGATGAGAGCCTAGCAGAAGGGTAGAACCCACAAATGAAATAAGGTAAGAGGAAACTGAGGGGGCAAATCAGAAGTGAGAGAGGCAGAAAGAGGAGAGCCTCTAGCTGACTGCTACTCACCCCATCATGTACCAGAGCTTTCCAAGAGTGCTCCAACTTCTTAACAAACCTGACAAGAAAAATGTATATCATGCATTCAACATTAAACGAATGACCTTATAGTTTTCTACTTTACAGAGTTAAAAGAGCAATCGCAGTAGCAAAGAGAGAGACCGGGAAAGCACCCCCACTATTATGCTGGCTTTCCAAAGAACAGACAAGGTAGTGCTTATTCCACATGGAGATCGAAGCTGTTTCTAGATAAGTCGATTATTGCCCCCCTCAGAAAGGGGTAGTTAATATGTCCCGGCAAGTCAGGGACAAGAATATTTATTGTAAAAGGGGAGCTGGAGGGACAGATGGGCAAACCTGGAAGGGGGTCAAGTACTGTCCAGTCCTCATTAGTACCTGAAACCTTACAGGAGCAAAACTGGGGTCTAACATTTCCAGCTCTTCCTTCACTACCACACCACTGCCTGAATTCCACAGGCTAATGCTTTTCACAGAACACAGTGATCCTCTTGTTTTTCCTCCATGGAAAGGAGGGATGTGTTTCCAGCTGTATCCTAATGTGGAGTATGACTCATCTCACAGGTCTTCCACAAAAAGCCAGAGAGATGGCGTTTCTACCCTGGTGCTTCTAAGGACTGACTCAGCTTTCCACAGAGGTGTATGCTATGTTTGGGGAGATGGTGGGATAAGGAAGCCAACAGACAGGCATAATCAGGAAATAAAAAACCATCTGAAACCCAATGAAGCAAGCAGCCAGACTGCAACTTACTCTTCTTGCTTCAGGAAGAATTTGGTGACACCCATCTAAAACAGCTATGTGAGTAAATCCACATCCACTCTACTCCTAGGATCTATATGCTCCTCACCTGTAAGATTGAAGAATGTCAATGATCCCAATATAAAGCAGCAGCCTTTCCCCTTTACTATTCCGGGCCGGGATGCCACCCATACTGGGGAAGACAAGAAGGAAAGAGTAAGAAAATCTTTTGTCTAGCAGGCAGAGGCTTCTGCTAACCTCAAATCAGATCAGGACATGTAACTGAGACCTAAGCATAGTTAGAAGTCCCATCTTCCATAAGCTGGGGAAGAGCAAGAGACTTCGCCCAGCCCCACCCACTTTGGCTTATGTATTGTAACCTCTTTCTCTCCAAATCTCACCTGCCTGCCTCTCCCACCCCAAATCCATGGAAGAGAATCTAAAAATCACCCCTACTCAGCAATTTTAGGAATACTCTCCCAATTAACTCTAAACTTTCTTAGTACTCTACTCTTTTTTTTTTTTTTTTGGCTGCGCTGCAAGGCTTGTGGGATCTTAGTTCCCTGATCAGGGATCGAACCGGGGCTCTCGGCAGTGAAAGCACAAAGTCCTAACCACTGGACCGCCCAGGAATTCCTCCCCAGTACTTTCATATTTTAATTTATGCCCACTGAGACACTCTTCTGGAGAGTCATGGTAAAGAATACTTTAAAATGAAACCACTTAAAAGACATTTGATACTTTAGTAACTACACTTCCTTGATCCATGATGGTAACAAAGACGCCTTCCATAAAGAAGTCTATAATAAATTGTTTTTGATGAAGTTCTAATATAATTTGCAGGCGTGCATCTAAGACTCTGAGTGAACATTTTTTAAAAAGTCTTGGACTTCCCTGGTGGCACAGTAGTTAAGAAACTGCCTGCCAATGCAGGGAACATGGGTTCGATCCCTAGTCTGGGAAGATCCCACATGCTGCGGAGCAACTAAGCCCATGTGCCACAACTACTGAGCTTACACTCTAGAGCCCATGAGCCACAACTACTGAGCCCACGTGCCACAACTACTGAGGCCCATGCATTCTAGGGGCCCGCATGCCGCAACTACTGAGCCTGCGTGCTGCAACTACTGAAGCCCACACACCTAGAGCCGGTGCTCCGCAACAAGAGAAGCCACCGCAATGAGAAGCCTGTGCACCGCAACGAAGAGTAGCCCCCATTCGCCGCAAGTAGAGAAAGCCTGCACGCAGCAATGAAGACCAAACGCAGCCAAAAATTTAAAAAAAAAAAGTCTTGGGACTTCCCTGGTGGCACAGTGGTTAAGAATCTGCCTTCCAATGCAGAGGACGTGGGTTCGATCCCTGGTCAGGGAACTAGATCCCACATGCATGCCTCAACTAAGAGTTTGCATGCCAAAACTAAGGAGCCCACCAGCCGCAACTAAGGAGCACACGTGCCGCAACTAAAGGAGCCAGTGAACCGCAACTAAGGAGCCATCAAGCTGCAACTCAGGACCTGCCTGCCACAACTGAGACTCGGTACAACCAAAAATAAAAAATAAATAAAATAAAAATAAAATAAAATAACAAAAAAAAGAAATTATATGTTTGTTTTAAAATAAATAAATAAATAAATAAATTTTTAAAATTCCAAAAAAAAAAAAGTCTCTTAATTTTGAATAGTTCTCCTTCCCAGATGTACAAATCCCAAATTTAAGACATCTTCCTTTCCTTTTACATTCTTAGGAAAGCTCATCCTATAGTTCTGTAAGCATTAAAGCTATTGACTTAACTACTGAATAAAGGCTACTCCTTCTCAGAAGCTGCGTCCCTCCCTCAAGAAAAAGTGCTCTGAGCCTATGCACTCCTTCCCAGCGCCCGAGTCCACTCACTGGTCCTCAGTCTCCATGGTGCCACCTCGTCGAGCCTCGCCCTGGATAGATTCCATGGCTGTGGAATAGAGAGCCTTTTGGGGGGCTGGTCTGCGAGTGTCAGTTGAATATTGTGCTTCATTGCCTAAAGGCTCTCGTTGTGCATAATCTATGTTATGGATTGACACCAGGAGGCTATAGTCCATTATCTTGAAGCTCTGCAGCACCTAATGGAAGGAAAAAACATGATCTGAGCCTTGGGAGGTATGAGAATCTTTTTTCAGGATCTCACAGCTTTCCTGATCTAACTGTTTTTGATAGCGAACCTCCAGAGCTATAACCACAGGATCAGCCTTTGCTCCTCCTACTCCTTGGAGAACAGTACATTGACCTCCTCTGGTCACCCTTCACTGATATCCCTTCAGCTTTCCTTCACCAGAGTACATACAAATTAGGCCACGGCCTAGCCCACAAGATCCTCTTTGTTTGTTCTTTCCTTGTATCTCTTCACGAAAAGAGCATTATATTCTCAATGAAAGAAGAAACACATATTTGAGCTCTAAAAAATCCACAAGGAGGGTCTGGTAAAAGTAAACTTTGTGACAGAGCAGATCTGTGGCAGGTCCTTATATGGCCAGCTTCACTTCAGTTCATTATTTGCTGAATCCTTACCATCTGTAGGCACTGTGCCTGCTTATGTGGATACAAAGATACGTGAGAGCTTCTGTCCTCATGGATATTATAATTTAGAAAGGGAAACTAATGTAAAAATAAAAACAATACAGTCTACTATGTGTAACAATGCAAGTGCATACATGATTGAGGAATACTACAGAGACATACATAAATAGGTTTATGAGGGATCGATTAGAGAGAAAATAAATGCAAGTAAATAAAGGAAGGAAAGAAGAATGCCAAGGCCTGGAAGCATGAAACAGCAGGCTACATGCAGGGAGGTATAATTTGGTGTTGCTAGAACATAAAATGCAAAGGCTAGGTGTTTGGCACGAGAGAGAGGATGGTAGGGGCAAGACAATGACAGGTCTGATGTGTCATATTAAGGAGCCTGGATTGTCTCCTACAGTTCTCAACCTTGTATATTTCCACCAGTTCCAGCAGCTCACTTTGGGGGTTTTGGTAGGTGGATAGAGTAAGGGATAAAGAGAGTTCAGGACTGATTCTTGGCCTCTCCCGCCGTGGAGCACAGGCTCCGACGCACAGGCCCAGAGGCCGTGGCTAACGGGCCCAGCCACTCCGCGGCATGTGGGATCCTCCCAGACCGGGGCACAAACCTGTGTCCCCTGCATCGGCAGGCGGACTCTCAACCACTGAGCCACCAGGGAAGCCCAGGACTGATTCTTATGTGTGGTTTGAAAAACCTCTCTGCTCCACCAAGTCTCCAGTCCTCACAACCAAAAGAGCCAAACTAAAATAGGCATTATCCTGGAAGTAGACGCAGAGTAAGCAAAGAAAGGCAAGGATGGATAACATCATGGACTGAATAGAAGATGACAATCCTACAAAAGCAGTTTGCCAAAAAAAAAAAAAAGGGTGGAAAAATCAGTAGGGAAAGATGTCACAAAAACCAACAGATGTTAAGAAAGTGGAATCAGGGCTTCTCTGGTGGTGCAGTGGTTGAGAGTCCACCTGCCAATGCAGGGGACACGGGTTCTTGCCCCGGTCCGGGAAGATCCCACATGCCGCGGAGCGGCTGGGCCCGTGAGCCATGGCCGCTGAGCCTGCGCTCCGCAACGGGAGAGGCCACAGCAGTGAGAGGCCCGCGTACCGCAAAAAAAACAAAAAAAAAAGAAAGTGGAATCAATCAACTGTCAAACACTGCAGAAAATTCAAGGAAGGACTGAGAAGTACTCTCTATTCGGCATCTACGTGGTCATCGGAGAGAGCAGTTCAATTGAAGTGGTGAGAGCAAAAGCCAGGACACGGTGGGTTGAGGCAGGAATAGGAGAAGAGAAAGGGAAAAGAGAAATGGAGGCATCATTAAATGAAGACATTGAAAAACATTCTCTTAATCTTAAAATAAAAAAGAGATAAACTTGTTTGTATATAGATAGAAAATAGTTGAGGCTGAAGCCAGAGGTGGGAAAGGAAGTAAGTGATGAAGCAGTATCCTAGAGAAACAGGAGGAAATGGATCTAGGTCACAAAAGGGACTGACCTGGAATAATCGACCAAGTTGGGAAGAAAATATAGATTAAGGATGGTTAAGTGTAGATCCATTTATAAAGTGATGATGGAGGCAGGACAAAGGGATGGTACAGAATAGAAAGTTGAGGTAGTTTGTTGAGAAACAAGGCTGGAGGGATGAGAGTCAGAAACCTGTTTGAAGAGAGTGCCAATCAGGTGCAGTCTCTGGGAGGAACAGGAAATGGATTGATGAGGAATACTGAGGGCCCAGGTAGGGGTGGATATCATAAATCTGTAGAGATGCCAGTATACACAGTTGTGTGATTTTTTTCAGCAGCACTCAGCTTCTAAGATATAAATTTGGATTTGGCAGACAGGATCAAAAACTGAGCCATGATGGTGCTGGTATGAAAATAAGGAGAATGTATGCTTATGAGGCCCAGGACAGGTAGCAGGTAGAGAAAAAAAAGACGGGAGGGGAGTTAGACAAACGGGGAGAAAGTAAAAATGTAAAGGCATAAAGGATCTAATATAAAAGTTATTTTAAATGAAGTCTGGCACAGATGGAGCTAAGGAACAGAGTCCCATCTCCCACAGATTAGATGCCTAAGAACGACCAAGCTGTTTTACAGACTGAGATTTCTGGTGCCTGAGAGAGAAGGAAATGTGACAAACTCACCAAACAGTCGCGCTGCAGGGTCTTGCACAGAGCATTGTACATATCAGCATCCAAAAAGAGACCATCAGGGATGTCTTGTAAGAAGTCCAGGTCTTTAAGGGTGGGGAGAGGTTTCTCTCGCTCTTTTTGGGAAGCCCGCCTTTTGTAGGTTGAGCCCTTGAGGTCATATTTGATATGCATCTTGACTGACCGTGGTAAGAGATTGTTCATCACCACAATTCGAATGTTCTTACCACCTGCCTGCACACAGTACAGTCCATAGAACTTAGGCAGCAAAGTCCGAGGGTTCTGGTTGAGGTTCTGAGGACAAGAAAGTAAAAAGAAGTAGAAGAGCAAATTAGCTGATTTTCAATAAAACTCAAGGGCAAAAGCTGTCACCCCCCTTCCTTTGTCTGTTACATGGGATTCAGATACAATCTGCCCATAAGCCCACATTACATTTGTTTAAAATTTCCCAATGTATCTATCTCAATAATGAGCTCACCACCAAGCCGAGTGGAAGGCCTACAATACAGTAAGCAGTCAGGATACTAAACATATGATGAACATATTCCTTCAGAGAGGTTTAAGAGAAGACAGCACTGAAAAAGACTTAATGCTTAGCCTTCTGTATAGTATATTCTCGTGAGTATGAAAGGAGGCAAAGAAGAGTTCCCTAACTTCTCCAGAACCTCCAAGAGGTATCAGTCAGAGTAAGAAAAAATACAGTATTATCAAGGGAAGTAACCAACCTCATACTCTACTCTAGGAGCTGGACTAAGAATGGAAAGCAGAATCATCATTGAAAAAAACAAAAATAAACAAATGGGACCTAATTAAACTTAGAAGCTTTTGCACAGCAAAGGAAACCATCAACAAAATGAAGAGAAAGCCCAAAATATGGGAGAAAATATTTGCAAATGAAGTGACCGACAAGTGATTTTTCTCTAAAATATACAAACAGCTCATGCAGCTCAATATCAGAAAAAAAAAAAACCCCAATCAAAAAATGGGGACTTCTTTCGAAGATGGCGGAAGAGTAAGACGTGGAGATCACCTTCCTCCCCACAGATACACCAGAAATACATCTACATGTGGAACAACTCCTACAGAACACCAACTGAACACTGGCAGAAGACCGCAGACCTCCCAAAAGGCAAGAAACCCCCCACATACCTGGGTAGGGCAAAAGAAAAAAGAATAAACAGAGACAAAAGAATAGGAATGGGACCGGCACCAGTGGGAGGGAGCTGTGAAGGAGGAAAGGTTTCCACACACTAGGAAGCCCCTTCGCAGGTGGAGACTGCGGGTGGCGGAGCGGGAAAGCTTCGGAGCCGCGGAGGAGAGCACAGCAACAGGGATGCGGAGGGCAAAGTGGGGAGAGATTCCCGCACCGAGGATCGGTGCCGACCAGTACTCACCAGCCCAAGAGACTTGTCTGCTCACCCGCCGGGGCGGACAGGGCTGGGAGTTGAGGCTCGGGCTTCGGTTGGAGCGCCGGGAGAGGACTGGGGTTGGCAGCGTGAACACAGCCTGCAGGGGGTTAGTGCGCCACGGCTAGCCGGGAGGGAGTCCGGGGAAAAGTCTGGACCTGCCAAAGAGGCAAGAGACTTTTTCTTCCCTCTTTTGTTTCCTGGTGCGCGAGGAGAGGGGATTAAGAACGCTGCTTAAAGGAGCTCCAAAAAAAAAAAAAAGGAGCTCCAGAGATGGGCGCGAGCCACAGCTAAAAGCCCGGACCCCAGAGACGGGCATGAGACCCTAAGGCTGCTGCTGCCGCCACCAAGAAGCCTGTGTGCGAGCACAGGTCACTATCCACACCCCCCTTACAGGGAGCCTGTGCAGCCAGCCACTACCAGGGTCCCAGGGTCCAGGGACAACTCCCCCGGGAGAACGCACGGCACGCCTCAGGCTGGTGCAACGTCACGCCGGCCTCTGCCTCCGCAGTCTCGCCCCCACTCCGTGCCCCTCCCTCCCCCCAGCCTGAGTGAGCCAGAGCCTCCAGTCAGTGGCTCCTTTAACCCCGTCCTGTCTGAGCGAAGAACAGACGCCCTCCGGAGACCTACACGCAGAGGTGGGGCCAAATCCAAAGCTGAGGCCCTGGGAGCTGTGAGATAAAGAAGAGAAAGGGAAATCTCTCCCAGCAGCCTCAGAAGCAGCGGATTAAAGCTCCACAATCAACTTGATGTACCCTGCATCTGTGGAATACATGAATAGACAACGAATCATCCCAAATTGAGGAGGTGGACTTTGAGACTAAGATTTATGATTTTTTCCCCTTTTCCTCTTTTAATGAGTGTGTACGTGTAAGCTTCTGTGTGAGATTTTGTCTGTATAGCTTTGCTTCCACCATTTGTCCCAGGGTTCTATCCGTCCGTTTTTTTTGTTTTTCAATTTTTTTCTTAATAATTATTTTTTATTTTAATAACTTTATTTTATTTTACTTTATCTTCTTTCTTTCCTTTCCTCCTTTAGACAACGAATCATCCCAAATTGAGGAGGTGGACTTTGAGAGCAAGATTTATGATTTTTTCCCCCTTTTCCTCTTTTTGTGAGTGTGTATGTGTACGCTTCTGTGTGAGATTTTGTCTGTATAGCTTTGCTTCCACCATTTGTCCTAGGGTTCTATCCGTCTGTTTTTTAAAAAATTTTTTTCTTAGTAATTATTTTTTTATTTTAATAATTATTATATTTTATCTTACTTTATTTTATTTTACTTTATCTTCTTTCTTTTTTCCTTCCTTCCCTCCTTCCCTCCTTCCTTCCTCCCTCCCTCCCTCCCTCTCTCTCTCTCTCTTTCATTCTTCTTCTACTAATTCTTTCTTTCTACTTTTCTCCCTTTTATTCTGAGCCGTGTGGATGAAAGGCTTTTGGTGCTGCAGCCACGAGTCAGTGCTGTGCCTCTGAGGTGGGAGAGCCAACTTCAGGACACTGGGCCACAAGAGACCTCCCAGCTCCACATAATATCAAACGGCGAAAATCTCCCAGAGATCTCCATCTCAACGCCAGCACCCAGCTTCACTCAACGACCAGCAAGCTACAGTGCTGGACATCCTATGCCAAACAACTAGCAAGACAGGAACACAACCCCACCCATTAGCAGAGAGACTGCCTAAAATCATAATAAGTCCACAGACCCCCCAAAACACACCACCAAACGTGGACCTGCCCACCAGAAAGACAAGACCCAGCCTCATCCACCAGAACACAGGCACTAGTCCCCTCCACCAGGAAGCCTACACAACCCACTGAACAACCTTAGCCACTGTGGGGCCAGACACCAAAAACAACGGGAACTACGAACCTGCAGCCTGCAAAAAGGAGACCCCAAACACAGTAAGATAAGCAAAATGAGAAGACAGAAAAACACATAGCAGATGAAGGAGCAAGATAAAAACCCACCAGACCTAACAAATGAAGAGGAAATAGGCAGTCTACCTGAAAAAGAATTCAGAATGATAGTAAAGATGATCCAAAATCTTGGAAATAGAATAGACAAAATGCAAGAAACATTTAACAAGGACCTAGAAGAACTAAAGATGAAACAAACAACGATGAACAACACAATAAATGAAATAAAAAATACTCTAGATGGGATCAATAGCAGAATAACTGAGGCAGAAGAACGGGTAAGTGACCTGGAAGATAAAATAGTGGAAATAACTACTGCAGAGCAGAATAAAGAAAAAAGAATGAAAAGAACTGAGGACAGTCTCAGAGACCTCTGGGACAACATTAAACACACAAACATTCGAATTATAGGGGTTCCAGAAGAAGAAGAGAAAAAGAAAGGGACTGAGAAAATATTTGAAGAGATTATAGTTGAAAACTTCCCTAATATGGGAAAGGAAATACTTAATCAAGTCCAGGAAGCACAGAGAGTCCCATACAGGATAAATCCAAGGAGAAATACGCCAAGACACATATTAATCAAACTGTCAAAAATTAAATACAAAGAAAGCATATTAAAAGCAGCAAGGGAAAAACAACAAATAACACACAAGGGAATCCCCATAAGGTTAACAGCTGATCTTTCAGCAGAAACTCTGCAAGCCAGAAGGGACTGGCAGGACATATTTAAAATGATGAAGGAGAAAAACCTGCAACCAAGATTACTCTACCCAGCAAGGATCTCATTCAGATTTGATGGAGAAATTAAAACCTTTACAGACAAGCAAAAGCTGAGAGAGTTCAGCACCACCAAACCATCTTTACAACAACTGCTAAAGGAACTTCTCTAGGCAGGAAACACAAGAGAAGGAAAAGACCTACAACAACGAACCCAAAACAATTAAGAAAATGGGAATAGGAACATACATATCGATAATTACCTTAAATGTAAATGGACTAAATGCTCCCACCAAAAGACACAGATTAGCTGAATGGATACAAAAACAAGACCCATATATTTGCTGTCTACAAGAGACCCACTTCAGACCTAGAGACACATACAGACTGAAAGTAAGGGGACGGAAAAAGATATTTCATGCAAATGGAAACCAAAAGAAAGCTGGAGTAGCAATTCTCATATCAGACAAAATAGACTTTAAAATAAAGACTATTAGAAGAGACAAAGAAGGACACTACATAATGATCAAGGGATCGATCCAAGAAGAAAATATAACAATTGTAAATATTTATGCACCCAACATAGGAGCAACTCAATACGTAAGGCAAATACTAACAGCCATAAAAGGGGAAATCAACAGTAACACATTCATAGTAGGGGACTTTTTAACACCCGACTTTCACCAATGGACAGATCATCCAAAATGAAAATAAATAAGGAAACACAAGCTTTAAATGATACATTAAACAAGATGGACTTAATTGATATTTATAGGACATTCCATCCAAAAACAACAGAATATACATTTTTCTCAAGTGCTCATGGACCATTCTCCAGGATAGATCATATCTTGGGTCACAAATCAAGCCTTGGTAAATTTAAGAAAACTGAAATTGTATCAAGTATCTTTTCCGACCACAATGCTATGAGACTAGATATCAATTACAGGAAAAAACCTGTAAAAAATACAAACACATGGAGGCTAAACAATACACTACTTAATAACGAAGTGATCAGTGAAGAAATCAAAGAGGAAATTAAAAAAATACCTAGAAACAAATGACAATGGAGACACGATGACCCAAAATCTATGGGATGCAGCCAAAGCAGTTCTAACAGGGAAGTTTATAGCAATACAATCCTACCTTAAGAAACAGGAAACATCTCGAATAAATAACCTAACCTTGCACCTAAACCAATTAGAGAAAGAAGAACAAAAAAACCCCAAAGTTAGCAGAAGGAAAGAAATCATAAAAATCAGATCAGAAATAAATGAAAAAGAAAAGAAGGAAATGATAGCAAAGATCAATAAAACTAAAAGTCCTGGTTCTTTGAGAAGATAAACAAAATTGATAAACCATTAGCCAGACTCATCTAGAAAAAAAAGGGAGAAGACTCAAATCAATAGAATTAGAAATAAAAAAGGAGAAGTTAACAACTGACACTGCAGAAATACAAAAGATCATGAGAGATTACTACAAGCAACTCTATGCCAATAAAATGGACAACCTGGAAGAAATGGACAAATTCTTAGAAATGTACAACCTGCCAAGACTGAATCAGGAAGAAATAGAAAATATGAACAGTCCAATCACAAGCACTGAAATTGAAACTGTGATTAAAAATCTTCCAACAAACAAAAGCCCACGACCAGATGGCTTCACAGGCAAAGTCTATCAAACATTTAGAGAAGAGCTAACACCTATCCTTCTCAAACTCTTCCAAAATACAACAGAGGGAGGAACACTCCCAAACTCATTCTGCGAGGCCACCATCACCCTGATACCAAAACCACACAAGGATGTCACAAAGAAAGAAAACTACAGGCCAATATCACTGATGAACATAGATGCAAAAATCCTCAACAAAATACTAGCAAACAGAATCCAACAGCACATTAAAAGGATCATACACCATGATCAAGTGGGGTTTATTCCAGGAATGCAAGGATTCTTTAATATACGCAAATCAATGTGATAAACCATATTAACAAACTGAAGGAGAAAAACCATATGATCATCTCAATAGATGCAGAGAAAGCTTTCGACAAAATTCAACACCCATTTATGATATAAACCCTGCAGAAGTTGGCATAGAGGGAACTTTCCTCAACATAATAAAGGCCATATATGACAAATCCACAGCCAACATTGTCCTCAATGGTGAAAAACTGAAAGCATTTCCACTAAGATCAGGAAGAAGACAAGGTTGCCCACTCTCACCACTCTTATTCAACATAGTTTTGAAAGTTTTAGCCACAGCAATCAGAGAAGAAAAGGAAATAAAAGGAATCCAAGTCGGAAAAGAAGAAGTAAAGCTGTCACTGTTTGCAGATGACATGATACTATACAAGGAGAATCCTAAAGATGCTACCAGAAAACTACTAGAGCTAATCAATGAATTTGGTAAAGTAGCAGGATACAAAATTAATGCACAGAAATCTCTGGCATTCCTATACACTAAGGATGAAAAATCTGAAAGTGAAATCAAGAAAACACTCCCATTTACCATTACAACAAAAACAATAAAATATCTAGGAAGAAACCTACCTAAGCAGACAAAAGACCTGTATGCAGAAAAGTATAAGACACCAATGAAAGAAATTAAAGATGACACAAATAGATGGAGAGATATACCATGTTCTTGGATTGGAAGAATCAACATTGTGAAAATGACTCTACTACCCAAAGCAATCTACAGATTCAATGCAATCCCTATCAAACTACCACTGGCATTTTTCACAGAACTAGAACAAAAAGTTTCACAATTTGTATGGAAACACAAAATACCCTGAATAGCCAAAGCAATCTTGAGAAAGAAAAACGGAGCTGGAGGAATCAGGCTCCCTGACTTCAGACTATACAACAAAGCTACAGTAATCAAGACAGTATGGTACTGGCACAAAAACAGAAAGATAGATCAATGGAACAGGATAGAAAGCCCAGAGATAAACCCACGCACATATGGTTACCTTATCTTTGATAAAAGAGGCAGGAATGTACAGTGGAGCAAAGACAGCCTCTTCAATAAGTGGTGCTGGGAAAACTGGACAGGTACATGTAAAAGTATGAGATTAGATCACTCCCTAACACCATACACAAAAATAAGCTCAAAATGGATTAAAGCCCTAAATGTAAGGCCAGACTATCAAACTCTTAGAGGAAAACATAGGCAGAACACTCTATGACATAAATCACAGCAAGATCCTTTTTGACCCACCTCCTAGAGAAATGGAAATAAAAACAAAAATAAACAAATGGGACCTAATGAAACTTCAAAGCTTTTGCACAGCAAAAGAAACCATAAACAAGACCAAAAGACAACCCTCAGAATGGGAGAAAATATTTGCAAATGAAGCAACTGACAAAGGATTAATCTCCAAAATTTATAAGCAGTTCATGCAGCTCAATAACAAAAAAACAAACAACCCAATCCAAAAATGGGCAGAAGACCTAAATAGACATTTCTCCAAAGAAGATATACAGACTGCCAACAAACACATGAAAGAATGCTCAACAGCATTAATCATTAGAGAAATGCAAATCAAAACTACAATGAGATATCATCACACACCGGTCAGAATGGCCATCATCAAAAAATCTAGAAACAATAAGTGCTGGACAGGGTGTGGAGAAAAGGGAACACTCTTGCACTGCTGGTGGGAATGTTAATTGATACAGCCACTATGGAGAACAGTATGGAGGTTCCTTAAAAAACTAAAAATAGAACTACCATACGACCCAGCAATCCCACTACTGGGCATATACCCTGAGAAAACCATAATTCAAAAAGAGTCATGTACCGAAATGTTCATTGCAGCTCTATTTACAATAGCCAGGACATGGAAATTACCGAAGTGTCCATCGACAGATGAATATTAAAGATGTGGCACATATATACAATGAAATATTACTCAGCCATAAAAAGAAACGAAATTGAGCTATTTGTAATGAGGTGGATGGACCTAGAGTCTGTCATACAGAGTGAAGTAAGTCAGAAAGAGAAAGACAAATACCGTATGCTAACACATATATATGGAATTTAAGGGAAAAAAATGTCATGAAGAACCTAAGGGTAAGACAGGAATAAAGACACAGACCTACTAGAGAATGGACTTGAGGATATGGGAGGGGGAAGGGTAAGCTGTGACAAAGCAAGAGAAAGGCATGGACATATATACACTACCAAACGTAAGGTAGATAGCTAGTGGGAAGCAGCCGCATAGCACAGGGAGATCAGCTCAGTGCTTTGTGACCACCTAGAGGGGTGGGATAGGGAAGGTGGGAGGGAGGGAGACGCAAGAGGAAAGAGATATGGGAACATATGTATATGTATAACTGATTCACTTTGTTATAAAGCAGAAACTAGCACACCATTGTAAAGCAATTATACTCCAATAAAGATGTAAAAAAAAAAATAAAGGTAGAAGATATAAATAGACATTTCTCCAAAGAAGATATACAGATGGCCAAAAAGCACATGAAAAGATGCTCAACATCACTAATTATTAGAGAAATGCAAATCAAAACTACAATGAGGTATCACCTCACACTGGTCAGAATGGCCATCATCAAAAAATCTACAAACGGGCTTCCCTGGTGGCGCAGTGGTTGCGAGTCCGCCTGCCGATGCAGGGGACACGGGTTCGTGCCCCAGTCCACGAAGATCCCACATGCCATGGAGCGGCTGGGCCCATGAGCCATGGCTGCTGAGTCTGCGCATCCGGAGCCTGTGCTCCGCATCGGGAGAGGCCACAACAGTGAGAGGCCCAAGTACCACAAAAAAAAAAAAAAATCTACAAACAATAAATGCTAGAGAGGGTGTGAAGAAAAGGGAACCCTCCTACACTGTTGGTGGGAATGTACAGCCACTATGGAGAATAGCATGGAGATGCCTTAAAAAACTAAAACTAGAGCTACCATATGATCCAGCGATTCCACTCCTGTTCAGTGTTCTTTGCAGCCCTATTTACAACAGCCAGGACATGGAAGCAACCTAAATGTCCATCAACAGAGGAATGGATAAAGATGTGGTACATATATACAATGGAATATTACTCAACCATAAAAAGGAATGAAATAATGCCATTTGCAGCGACATGGATGGACCTAGAGATTGTCATACTGAGTGAAAGTAAGTCAGAAAGCGAAAAATAAATATCATATATTATCACTTATATGTGGAATTTTAAAAATGGTACACATGAACCTATTTACAAAACAGAAGTTGAGTCACTGATGTAGAAAACAAACTTGTGGTTACTGGGGGGAAAAGGCAGGGGGTAAACTGGGAGACTGGGATTGACATACACACAGTACTATACACAGAACGGATAATTAATAAGAACCTACTGAATAGCACAGGGAACTCTATTCAATACTCTGTAATATGGGAATAGAATCTAAAAAAAGTGGATATATGTGCATGTATAACTGACTCACTTTGCTTCCTGTACAGCAGAAACGAAACACTGTAAATCAACTATACTCCAATAAAAAAAAATTTTTTTTTAATCATCATTGAATCTTGTTGTTGGGTAGCAGGGTCTAAGCTAAAAACACTTAAAATAGGACAGATAAACAAAACCTCCTTTAGCCATAGAGAGACAAAAGAGATGGGAAAAGCACAAAGATGAACTACATTCCTACGACAGAAGGGCTGACATTGTTTTGTCCCCCTGATGGCAGCCTCCCCAGTGGAGTGGAGTGGGCAGCTCAGGCAGCCAGTGCTCCTGGTCCTCTTACCATGTAGTATCCTGGAAGCAGCTTCTGCAGAAACTCCGCCTCTTTGTGCTGGACTGTTTTAATGATGAATTCATCATCGCTGGACACATAGAAGAGGGAACCACTAGCTCCAGAGTTGCAGAGTTCAATCAGCGGCTCATTGCAGAGGGAGTACTGGGCCCAGAGAAAAGAGAGCAAGAGGTTCAGAGATACAAGGGCATGCCCAACCAGAAATCAACTACAGATGCAATTCTAAAGAAAAACTAGAGCAAGAGTGTGGAGAGAGGGTCTTCCTTTGGAAGTATCCCTCTGATACTGGAGTCCCAGGGTCCTGAAATCTGGAAGCTTACCAAGTAATCATCAGGGCGGATACCAAATAACTCCCGAAAGTAGCGGAAGGCAACAGGTGCATAGGTCTTGAACCGAAAGTCATTATAGTGATGAGCAGGAGTCAGGTTGCTCCCTTCACTGTGGGGTTGAACAGAAGAAGCCATAACTTACCAGTTCCTGTAATTTAGGGAGTCCACACCCTGGAAAGACACTCAGTCACCCAGAGCCAGGTCAACACATCCCTCCTGAGAGAACCAAAGGGACTGGATGAGTCAGTTACATAATGGGACAAGGCACAACACGGGGATTAAGACATGGGCACAGGGAATCATATTACCTCCTCCCGATGCACTAAATTGTTTTTTAGGGCTCAGTCCACAGGCCGGAGGCTCATGGAAACATCCAAAGGAGAGCATGTGCTCTTCAAATTCTCCAGTCCCCATATCACCCTGATTAAAATCAGGTTAAGGATTGGATGCATGCCTAAATTAGACATGAACCCTAAAATGCCCTGATGATGATATAAAAAAGCCACATTTTCTAGGACATTCCCCTGCACATTAACCTCTGTACCTCGGGAAGAAGATACTCTCCACCACATAGAAGTCTTGCATGAGGACATCCCGCTCTGGTTTGGTACTCAGGCTCCCCACAGTGTGAGTAATGCCTAACTGGATGGCACCTTTTAAAGCTGACGAGGTTGTCTAAGAAACAAGAGAAACAAGAGGAAAGTTTCTAGTATTAAATCTGATCATAGCAATAAAAACTCAGAAGAACCAGAAGGAACATGGGAGAGCAAATGCCTATCTAGTAGTTCAGACTAAACTGGGGCAATCCAGTTTCCCCATCCCCACACTCTACATGGCAGTTAAGCCTGCAAAGATTGGAAGAGCATGAAGATACAGAATAGCAAAGTGGGGACTCTCTAAACAAGGTGTTCCCTCCTATTCACATCTATATCTGGAAGATACGTTGTACTGAGAGAACAATCCTAGGTCTCACTCCAAAGGTTCCTGCCCCCAGAGTATATGGAGTCCTCCAAACATTTTATTCATCTGATACAGAATGTAACTAAAATTAACTGATACTCTGATTCACTGCCTAGCTACTGAAGTTCAGTTCTCTAAGGCAAGGGCTGACTGGCGTTCCAAGGACAACTGAGTGGCAAAAAAAGCTCCTGACTGAAGAAGAAAGCCTGAAAGATTCAAATTATTTCTGAGAGAACTATTTAGATTTAAAATTATCATACTGTGGTCAAAACACAAATATAAGAGCCCCACTCTTACAATCCAGGATTTCAATGTCATGGGAAAATGTCGTATTATCTAGTTCTGTGCTGTCCAATATAGTAGCTACTAGCTACACTCGGCTATTTAATTTTATGTTAAAGTTAATTTAATTTAAAAATCATTTCTTCAGTCTTACTAGCCACATTCAGGTATGATTAGTGGGTACCACACTGGATAACACAGATATAGCACATTTCAATCACTGTAGAAAGTTCTATTGGACAGTTTTGTTCTAAGTGATTTCCCTTATCCCCCCAACCCTCACCAAATATTACTTGTATCAATATTCTACCTAGTCCTCATTGGGCATTAAAATTATAACTAGGGACTTCCCTGGTGGTCCAGTGGTTAAGAATCCGCCTCCCAGTGCAGGGGATGCAGGTTCGACCCCTGGTTGTGGAACTAAGATCCCACATGCCATGGGGCAACTAAGCCCATGCGCTCTGAAGCCCACGTGCCACAATTAGAGAGAAGCCCGTGAGCCACAACGAAGCGCCTGCACACCACAACGAAAGATACCATGTGCCACAGCTAACACCCAATGCAGCCAAATAAATAAATATTTTTAAAAATAAGAATAGGGATTTCTCTGGTGGCACACTGGTTGAGAATCCACCTGCCAATGCAGGGGACACGGGTTTGAGCCCTGGTCCAAGAAGATCTCACATGCCACGAAGCAACTAAGCCCATGCACCACAACTACTGAGCCCGCGCACCACAACTACTGAAGCCCACACGCCTCGAGCCTGTGCTCTGCAACAAGAGGAGCCACCACAGTGAGAAGCCTGCATACTGCAACGAAGAGTAGCCCCTGCTTGCCACAGCTAGAGAAAGCCCATGCACAGCAACGAAGACCAAACGCGGCCAAAAAAATTTAACACTTAAAAAAAAATTTTTAAATAAGAATATTTAAAAAAAATAAATAAAATTATAACAAATTTTTTAAGTGCTTGCCTCTCCAATTAGACTAGAAACTCATCTTTTTGTCTCAGTGTTCAGCACATAAAAAGAGCTCAATAAATGTGTTTAATTGACATGGGCCTCAGAGTCCATTCCCAGGGAGAGTCAGGTCCCTGACTGAGAATGAGTCAGTCCACCTCTATCACTTCGGACAATGCAATAAAGACAGAGAACAAACACAAGAAAAATTTACATGGGCCAGACAAGGTATAGATGCCAAATAGGAGGTTGAACACTGTACCCCAGGAAACCTAAGCATCTCCAATTAGTCCAGAACTGGGGAATTGGGTCACTCCAGGATGCTTCTCTCCTGTTTTCCCTTCACCAGTTCAATTTTCTCTTCTTGGTTATTACTACTATCTTTCCAATCCATTTGATATCTCTAGCTCAAAATCAGGTATTCTAGGCCCTATTCACCAAATGAAACTACAATCTTAAAAAAACAAAACCCATGGACTTCCCTGGTGGTCCAGTGGGTAAGATTCCATGCTCCCAATGCAGGGGGCCCAGGTTCGATCCCTGGGCGGGGAACTAGATCCTGCATGCATGCCACAACTGAGAGTCCACATGCCGCAACTAAGAGCCTGCATGCCACAACTAAGAGCCCGCATGTCACAATTAAGAGTCCACATGCCACAACTAAGAGTCCGTATGCCGCAACTAAGAAACCCACATGCTGCAACTAAAGATCCCGCATGCTGCAATGAAGACGCTGCGTGCCACAACTAAGACCCAGCACAGACAAAAAACAAAATAAAACAAAACATACACACACACAAAGAAAAATTCTTGACCTGCTGTCTATCTCTGTATCACCAAGCTGAATGGGATCCAGCCTTCACTTTATGTACATCCAGCACAAGAGACATGGTTCCCTAAAGCTAGGTAAGAATGGCCTTGGGGGCTTATTCCATGTTTATATCTAACAGGGAAACACAATTTCTTCAGCTCAGTGAAAAAGCATCCAACACCAGATTTGTTCATTAAGAACATTCTCATTTAAACACATATATGGGGACTTCCTTGGTGGCACAGTGGTTAAGAATCCGCCTGCCAATGCAGGGTACACGGGTTCCATCCCTGGTCCAGGAAGATCCCACATGCCACAGAGCAACTAAGCCTGTGTGCCACAACTACTGAGCCCACGTGCCACAACTACTGAAGCCTGTGCGCCTAGAGCCCATGCTCTGCAACAAGAGAAGCCACCACAATGAGAAGTCCATGCACCGCAACGAAGAGTAGCCCCCTGCTCGCTGCAACTAGAGAAAGCTGGTGAGCAGCAACAAAGACCCAAAACAGCCAGAAACAAAACCAAACAAAACGAAAAACACATATACAGGGCTTCCCTGGTGGCACAGTGGTTAAGAATCCGCCTGCCAATGCAGGGGACACGGGTTCGAGCCCTGGTCCGGGAAGATCCCACATGCTGCCGAGCAACTAAGCCCGTGCGCCACAACTACTGAGCCTGTGCTCTAGAGCCCATGAGCCACAACTACTGAGCCTGTGCGCCACAACTACTGAAGCCCGCACGTCTAAAGCCCGTGTTCCGCCACTAGAGAAACCACCGCAATAAGAAGCCTGCGCACCGCAACGAAGAGTAGCTCCCACTCGCCACAACTAGAGAAAGCCCGCGCGAAGAGCAACGAAGAGCCAACGCAGCGAAAGCCCGCGCGAAGAGCAACGAAGAGCCAACGCAGTCAAAGATAAAATAAATAAATTTATAAAACAAAACAAAACCCATATATACAGACGGGAAATAATTTACCCTTTGTGAAGTAAATTCTAAAGTTCAAGTTGCGGGGCTTCCCTGGTGGCACAGTGGTTGGGAATCCACCTGCCAATGCAGGGGACACGGGTTCGAGCCCTGGTCCGGAAGGATCCCACATGCCACAGAGCAACTGTGCCCATGTGCCACAGCTACCAAGCCTGCGCTCTGGAGCCGCGAGCTACAGCTACTGAGCTGCGCACCACAACTGCTGGGGCCCATGCGCCTGGAGCCCATGCTCCACAGCAGGAGAGGCCACCGCAGTGAGAGGCCCACGCGCCACAGCGGAAGAGTGGCCCCCGCTTGCCGCAACTAGGGAAAGCCCGCGCACAGCAACGAAGACCCAACGCAGCCAAAACTAAATAAAAATAAAATAAATTAATTAAATTTATAAAAAATAAAAAAGTTCAAGTTGTATGATGGTTATTGTGCAAAGGTTTAGCGTATCAAGAAATGGGATGGAATGTGGAGAATAATATCAAGGAGACAGAACTATCCCTTCCTGGAGTAAGATGAATGGGTTTCACCCAGACACACCTTTTTATATGTTGTCTCTCCTGAGGAATCAACACCTCGGTGGCCTATTTTCTTCATGGGCATGCTAGAGGCATAAGGCACCTAGAATAAGAAGAGTCAAGATTAGTACATGATTCCCATGTAACACACCAAACAGCTACCACGATGGTAAATCAAAAAAAACAAAACATGCAACACACCCTTTTTAGGTTAAGAACGTTTTATAAAATCTTCAGAAGATCCCTCCCATGCAAACACACAGCTATAGTGTTGCTCCCCAAAGAACTAAACTGACTAAAAGAACACAAAGAAAACTCCAAATGACATATATTTCACCTTTGGTTCTCAGAAAGATGACATGGAAAATTAAAATGATTATCATTAAAGAAAAGGAGAAACAGGGGAAGTAAGCAATAGCAGCCCCAGAAAAAAGGAAAGACCCTCAGTTTACAAAAGCAAGAGAGAAGTAGAGCTCCACAGACCCAGCTTTCTTTCAGAAACTACTACCCCTCTAATATTCAACCCAACCTGAACACTATTTGCTCAAACTGAATTCACCAGCAGAAATGATCTAGCCACTGGCAAATGCAAGTACTGCGAGCCCAAGTATTAAGAGGCTGTGGCAATAAGATGAGTCCTCTAAGAAAAGGGCCTCAGTGCCTCAAAGAGATTCCTGAGAACGTGGTATGGCTTTGTTTTCTATTCACATACATCACAGCCTCTGAAAAAAGGAAGAAGTAAAACCAGTGGAGCAGAGGCTAGAAGGCTATTCTCCACAGCCAAGATGCCAGCACAACAGACATGAAGGTATTCTTCATGATGTCGATACTCAAGTTAACAAGCCAGAAGGCAAAAAGACTACTGAAAATAGCATGTTACCATCTTAGGGCCTGATATTTAAGTTCTACTCTTCTTGCTAAGACCCTTAGTGCCAGAAAACCCTCAGTATATAACCTGACAGATCTTGGAAGATGTTCTGAGAAAAAAGCCTAAAATCCTACGCCAAAATGGTCTGTACTCTGAGGTCCCGTCACAAAACCCAGGAGAGATGCAAGAAGTAAAAAGAGGAATGGGAAATACTCTGTGGGAAGAAAATTAAGCAAATACAAGATACTCTGCACAAAAGAGAAAAACTTAGAATATCAACAGCTTCAGTACGGTTAAAAGAAGTTCGCCACATTCACTGAAGCTACGCAGTCAGGAGGTATTAACAGCAAAACAAGAGAACGAGCTTTAGTGTCAGACTAGCTTTGAATCCTAACCTTATTAATTACAGGACCTTGGGCAAGCTATAGAACCTCTAATCTTCACTTTTTCATCTATAAAACATGGATAACAACAGTACCTACACTCATAGAGGCTCTTTGAAGGATTAAATAAGAATACCTATAAAGAGCACTTAGGTACCTTATTTACTCTTTGGTACATTAAAAAAAGGCTCAGGGTCTTCCCTGGTGGTGCAGTGGTTGGGAGTCCGCCTGCCAATGCAGGGTTCAAGCCCTGGTCCAGGAAGATCCTGCAGCCGCGGAACAACTGGGCCCGTGCACCACAACTGCTGAGCCTGCCCTCTGGAGCCCGTGAGCCACAACTGCTGAGCCTGCGTGCTGCAACTGCTGAGGCCCCCACGCCTGGAGCGCGTGCTCTGTGATGGAAGAGGCCACCACATTGAGAAGCCCACGTACTGCAGCAAGGAGTAGCCCCCACTCGCTGCAACTAGAGAGAGCCTGCGCACAGCAACGAAGACCCAACAGATCCAAAAATAAATAAATAAAATAAGTAAATTTAAAACATTAAAAAAAAGTTCAATAAATCTGAGCTATTATTAATATTCATAATAAACTGTGATAAAAGTAGAGTTGTATAATTACTAGCCTACCAAAGAGATGTGAGAACCCTATCTAGATTCCAAGACCCAAGTAGGGGGAAAATAAGGATGTTATAAACAGGTATCCTTCTATCCCAGAATTAAGGTTTTAGAACCACTGTATCAATATAAAACTCACCTCAGATGCCATGGGTCTCTTGATTCCAGATGCTGTGAAAAAAATAAAATAAACAAACACAACCATAAGTATATACACACACTCACAACGATCTCTATCAAGCCCACTGAAACAATCAGGATTTGAGTCACACTAAACCTGACAATGAGCTCCTGCCTCTTGCTCATTGATAACAGATCCTTTTGGATAGGGATTTTAAACGTCCCTTCTTTTTCCTCCTCCATACTCACAGAGCCCTTATGCATATTCTGTTCTCATTCTAGTCCTTTTTCTTACACAAGTGTTCATATTTTCTCTAGGAAATATATCTGTTCTTGATACATTTAACCATCAGAGCCAGAGGGTCTCATTTGATACCATGGCTGAAAGAGAAAGGGCATAAGAGATACCAAGACTTATTGGACAACCTGGGCTTGATTAATAATTTTTCCTGTAGAGCTAAAAGGGTAGGTACTCTTAGAGCATATCTATGGTGCTTTACACATCTACTAATTATTTCAGAAAAAAGGTAAAGAGTTGGTCTATGAAAGCTTTATTTACAGTAGCCAAGATATGGAAGCAACCTAAGTGTCCATCAACAGATGAATGGATAAAGAAGCTGTGGTGTGTCTGTGTATGTGTGTGTATACATATACATATTCATGCAAATGGAATATTACTCAGTCATAGAAAAGAATGAAATTCTGCCATTTGCAACAACGTGGATGTCTCTAGAGGTTATTATGCTTAGTGAAATAAGTCAGAGAAAAACAAATACTCTATGTTATCACTTATATGTGAAATCTAAAAAATAAAACCGATCAATGTATATAACAAAACAGAAACAGACTCACAGAGAGAAAAAACTAGTGGTTACCAGTGGGGAGGGAAAAGCGGGGAGGGACAAGCTAGGGGTAGGGGATTAAGAGACACAAACTACTGTGTATAAAATAAATAAGCAACAAGGATATATTGTACAGCACAGTGAAATATAGCAATTATTGTGTAATAACTTTAAATGGAGTATTATCTGTAAAAATATTGAACTACATTGTACATCTAAAACTAATATATTATTATAAATCAACTATTCTTCAATTTTAAAAAAAAGAGTTGATCTATGGAGATGAGGAGGCTAAGGATGGGGAAATGCAATGTCAAAAAAATGGAAGAGCACAGAGTGCAGGCAGAACCTGACTCTACATCCTTCCATCCTCATCTTGATTTCTGCTGTAAAAGCAACAGGAATTTGTTGGTGTGTACTTAGTAAATATATAATCAGTGGAGATGTGTAAGATAAGTGTGTAGTTAAATCTCATCAATATTATGACTTTTATCCACTTAAATGTAGAAAAAGATTTCAAGAATATGTTTAGAAAGTGACTAAAAGACCATTATCTATAGAAAAATACTCTAAAAGGTTAAATCAATTCTTAAGGGTCTGCGATCCCTATAACTTTCATCCATGATCACATTGGAAACAGGGAGACAGAACTTTCTCCCCTTCATATTGAAGAATGTTGGCCTTTTTTCTTCAAAGACTACTGATATATTACTTTGATGTAGTTCTAAAGAATTCAAAATGAATAAAGATTAGCCATATTTAAGAAAATTAAGAAGAAGAATCCAATTCGGACGAATCCTCAATAATATAATACCTGAATAGGAAGACCCCAGTTCTGGTCCATATATAAGGTTTGAGACAAGATGGGCTTAAGGGCAATCAGGTAAAGCTCTAATTACTATTGTTTAAGACCAACGATCAAGGGCCCTAAGAATTTCAGAATATAGCTGGGCTCAGAGAAGAGATTGTGGTAGACCTTAGTAGTACAAAGGCCACAGACTAAGCATTTCTGGTACCAATAAGCAGAGCAGCAAGTTTCCTTCCCCATAGTGAGTCAGAGTAGCAAAACTATGGGGAACAGATGGTTTTCATTCCTCTTCCCAAAAAAGGAGGTAAGGGAAATGTCATCTAGCTGTTAGGAAGATGTGCTGCATAAAATGGCCCAGAAAATTAGAAAAACAGCAGAGCCCAATAATCTATGCTTTTTGCAGGATGCTTCATCTTCAGTCAGGTCAAGTTCAGGTAGGTGAAAGACCATTTTAGAACTGGAACCCTAAGCTAAAGCTTCCAAGGAACAATAAGCCAGGACGAGTCAGATTTATGATAAAACTGTTACTGACTTAAAACCTTTTAGACAAGAGCCAACATGCTGAGCTATTTAAAAATCAGAAGACCTGGGTTCAAATTCCTGTTACATCAGGTAAACTGTTCTCTATATTTAACTAAAAAAAGAGGAACCATATTAGAAGGTTTATGTAAAGATCAGATAAGACAAACTAAATCAGGGACTTCCCTGGTGGTCCAGTGGTTAAGAATCCGTCTTGCAGGGCTTCCCTGGTGGTGCAGTGGTTGAGAGTCTGCCTGCCGATGCAGGGGACATGGGTTCATGCCCTGGTCCGGGAAGATCCCACATGCCGCGGAGCTGCTGGGCCCGTGAGCCATGCCGCTGAGCCTGTGCTCCGCAACGGGAGAGGCCATAACTGTGAGAGGCCCGCGTACCGCATTAAAAAAAAAAAAAAAAGAATCCGTCTTGCAATGCAGGGATGCTGGTTCAATCCCCGGTCAAGGAACTAAGATCCCACATGCCGTGGGGCAACTAAGCCCGTGTGCTGCGACTACTGAGCCCGCACGCTCTGGAGCCAGGGTGCCACAACTAGAGAGAAGCCCGCGCGCTGCAATGAAAGATCCTGCATGCCGCAACTAAGACCCACCCAACACAGCCCAAAAAAGGATAAACTAAATCAAAGTACTTCATGGACTGCGACATGCTATACAAATATGTTGTCATATGTGAATTTTTTTTTTTTAAAGAGACCACAGACGGTGCAAGACGGTTTCTTTTTATTTTAATTTTTTAAAAATCTATTTTATTTATTTAGGCTGTGTTGGGTCTTCGTTACTGCGTGCAGGCTTTCTCTCATTGCAGCGAGCAGGGGCTACTCTTCGTCGCGGTGTACATGCTTCTCTTTGTGGTGGCTTCCCGTATTGCGGAGCACAGGCTCTAGGCACGCAGGCTTCAGCAGTTGTGGCACACAGGCTCAGTAGTTGTAGCTTGCGGGCTCTAGAGCACAGGCGCAGCAATTGTGGCGCACAGGCTTAGTTGCTCCACAGCATGTGGGATCTTCCTGAACCAGGGATTGAACACGTGTCCCCTGCACTGGCGGGCAGATTCTTAACCACTGAGCCGCTGCGCCCATATGTGATTTCTAATGCAAGAGTAAAGCTGGGCCCCCAGGAAGGTTTAATGTTCAATTACCTAGACCTATATGAAATTCTAATTAGCACCTCAAAGTTCTTGGCTCCTCCCCAAACCCTCAGCCTCCACCTCCCCCCCAACATAACCTTGTGCAAGTGTACAGGCAACTGTAGAATTAGTAAGTCTCAATAAGGAAATCAGTATGCTTTCAGTTGAGAAGACAACACTGATTCTGGACTTCTTGGTCAGTACCTGGCTTATCCCTTCCTCTTTTACCCCAGAGGAAGGGGTTTGGAGGGAGCTGGCAGAACCAAGAGCCAACATCCAGTCCTAGGCTGACAGTCTCTCCTAGAACACAACCTCTTCTGCATGCAAGGAGTCAATGGACCAAGTTAAACAATGGAGAAAAAAAAGCAGGTAAGTGATTTTCAAGGCAGAGAGTAGGTCTGGGGCTTTCTTTTTTTTGTGTGTGTGTGTGTGGTACGCGGGCCTCTCCCGTTGCGGAGCACAGGCTCCAGACGCACAGCCTCAGTGGCCATGGCTCACAGGCCCAGCCGCTCCACAGCACGTGGGATCTTCCCGGACCGGGGCACGAACCTGCGTCCGCTGCATCGGCAGGCGGACTCTCAACCACTGCGCCACCAGGGAAGCCCGGTCTGGGGCTTTCTTACTCCCTAAAAAGTTCTACTTTGCTACCTTTCCTAGTTTTATCACACAAACACATAGCTCTAGGGCTGCTACACCCTTACAAAGTACCCAGAATGAGGGTGGGAGGACTTCACTCAGTGGAATATGGTGCCAACTACTTAGCTATCTGCAACTGCAAAGCTTGGATTAATCCCAAGAACACTATAGCTGAAGCAGTTGGATGGATACTGGGGTCTAAATAATAATCAGAACAAGTAACACGGGGAGGAGAATTGGGACCCAAGACTTACTCTCTTCCTTGTCTGAAGTTTTGCCCCTAGGGCACAGGTCAGAGCTCCAACCTCCCAGAGAAGAATGGACAGGAATAGAAAAATAACTGGAGAATTTTATCAATGTTGCTGTAACACCCAGCTTGGTCCAGAAGAAACCCAATGAAGAGCAGTGATATTTCAGGGAACCAGGTACCATCTGCTAAGGCTTGACCATTTGGCCCAAGGCTCTGCCAATGAGAAACTGCCTACTGAGACTGAAGAGTCACCAGCACTGTACCTGTTCATCTCCTAATCAAGCTCTCTTCAGAAGGAAGAGGAGGAGCAGAAATGGAGGAAGAGGGGGGAGGTGGACGGAGGGGGGAGGAAAAGTGAGGGAAAAAAAGAGAGAAAAGAAAAGAATACCAACTCAGCATGGCAACACCCGGCTTAGCAATGCCATCCAGCCAATGTTTAAGGAGAACGAGATTTATCCTTATGGATAAGACTAGAATGTTATTCAACAGAAAGTTTGTTTTCTAGCATCTGTGTGAAAAATGATCTCTGATAAGTATATACTATCATCTTATAATCCCCATATCCACGATCCATATGTATCATCCTCTTTTTGGGTGGGGAAACTGAGTATAGGGCAGAGTTCCAATGTTAAATTTCCTCTTCCTCAGGGAAAAACGTTTCCATGGTTTGTTTCCTTCATGACTATGTAACTCCTACTTATTAACAGGCCCTAGACCAAGAAGCATTCTAAACAACCAGCTAATGTTGCTCTACTGGAAGCAAAAAATAAAGCCATGACAAATAGGCTGCATCAGAAAAATAATGGTTCAAATAACTTAATTCTGAGTGGCTCAATAGATGATATAGAACCAACCATGG